AGTATATATATATATATATATATATATATATATATATATATATATATATATATATTCGATTGAAATTGCTTTTACACGTGTCTTCCGTTGTCGCGTAAGAGATTACGACTCGCCGAGCGCACCTCACGATTTATTACCACTAATCAACCGCCTATTAAAGTCAGTTTACGTTAAAAAGGAAATAACGCGCGATAACCGCAAGCCGATTGACGATCGTTTTTCTTTTCATTAGAACTATCGTAAACTCATGGAAGGATCGAGCGTGGCGACTCGAAGAGAGCGCGGGGAGGTCTCGGGGGCCGGTTTAGAACGTTCTATGATCCCGGTAATTATCGCCTCTGGTATACCCACGATCAGATAATTCCAAAAACGCGCCGTCGCGTCGCGTCGCGTTGCGTCGCGTCGCGTCGCGTCGCGTCGGTAGGAAAGAAATGGGATATGGTAGCGCCGAATCAAAGAGGGCCGGAGGCTGAAAACGACGACGGCCGTTCCATCATCATCGCCGGGGTCGAAAGCGGCCCGTGCCTATAATTAGTAATATACCGCAGTCTATATCGACACGGCTGAAATTACCACCGATAGTAATTATTTGACAATTGCAGAGACATCCTGTTGGGAGACTCGGGGACCTCCGTTCCGTCCCTACTCCACCAACGTGCGTCCGCTCGTCCCCTTCGTTCACCCCCGCACACCCCCTTAGCCCCCTTTCTACCCCGTACGCTGCCGTTGCCGCTGCCGCCGCTGCTGCTGCTGCTGCTGCTGCTCGCTTAGTTCTACGCGACCTCGTCCCCTCCGCTCGTCGCCACGAGTATTAACGGACGGTTTCGAGTGGTTTCGGGCGGTTGTGTGTGGGCGGTTTGGGCTGGCGCGCTCATCTCATCGTCGGTGTGTTGCCAACGCACCGACACACACACACACACACACACACACACACACACACACACACACACATGTATACGTAGGATACACACATATATGCGTAGGGAGAAAGAGAGAGGAGAGAGAGAGAGAGACACACGGGAGATCGTGAGTAGTCAAGCTGTGATGCTGCACGTTATATAGGTGCCACATACGCGTGGCCCGGTTTTGTCTGTCCGTCCGTCCGTCCGTTCACCCGTTCGTCCGTTCGCCCGTCCGTCCGTCCGTCCGTCCGTCCGTCCATCCGTCCGACCGGCGTCCGTCGTTCGCGAATGCACAGGCCGGATCTCCTGTCTCTGCAGATGACCGTTCCCATCATCGAGTATTAACCGCAGGTTCGGGTGCCGGAGAGGGGAGTCGGCTGTGCGGCATTATTAGCCCCAAATGCGATGGACTCGACCGGGGGAGAGGAGGTCCAGCTCAACGTGCGACCCTTCCTCCGACCGACCGCCACCTTCCACCCTCTCACCCTTCCGACTTTGGTGATCCTCGGATTTTCCGCGATTTTCCAGCTGGACGCTATCGCTAATCTTGGAAAATTTGAGAACGACCGATCTGAAAAATTGATTCTGATCTTGTTGACTCATTACTTCCGGAAAGTTAGGTTCTTCCAGAAAAATTTATGAAAGTATCTACTTATTTTCATTATTTAACGATTGCCTAATTTTAACAAAAAAAAAATAAAATAAATAAATAATAGTAAAAAAAATACTTGCTTTATGACGCAAAAATTTGAATCGACATCCTGAAACGATGCTCTTTGCGCGCGACAGATGAACGATGACGATGGCAATGACGGCTGCGGGAGGTATCCTGGGACCGGGCGGAGGGTGCAACGGGGGGGAGTGATTCTATCGCGGAAGAGCGGAGAGAACTGGCGATATAACTGGGATATAACGCCATGTAGCTCTGCAGTCAGTTGCAGTTCCCGGGGGTGGTGCGGGGGTTGGCGGTGTTTGATGCCGGTTATCATGTTGACAGACACAGCGAGGTGGAACTGGGTGCACCAAGGGGAGACAATTACAAATCGTTGACATTTACGCCAACACAAACGATTGCATGTCCGCGGCGCGTTAGGTATCGTCTCTTTTGGGCGTAAACAGCAGTCTTGGTCGTGTTTTGTTTCATCATATTGGACAAGTTGACACCGAGTGTTTCGCGAATGGTCCCCATGAAATGGATGGCACATCCATACGGACTCGGCTCTCGTCAAGTTATCGCCTCCTGCAACAGAACGTCGTTCGGCAACAAAGTGCCGAATTTCTCTGTTTCTAATTCCGGAGAGCGTAAATAACGAAAGAGAGAAAGAGAGAGAGAGAGAGAGAGAGAGAGAGAGAGAGAGAGAGAGAGAGAGAGAGAGAGAGAGAGAGAGAGAGAGAGAGAGAGAGAGAGAGAGAAAGAGAGAGAGCTAAGCACGGTGTAAATTTCTCACCGCGCGAACGAACCCTCCGTCCGTGAGGGACAATTGGTCGGAAGGGACAAACTGACCGGTTCTCCTACCAAACGGAAGAGCTGCGAAAGAGCGGCGAATTACCGAATGCATATTAGCGCGCGATGGGCCGTTTAAGAGCGCGTAGTCAATCTCTCCGACGGACGTTTATGGAGAGGGAATTAATATACCGGACCTTCAACTTCCAGACCTTCGCCGGTGATATATGTACACGACTGCTCCACCCCCGAGCATCCCGACTCCTCCTCTATTATCTTTTAACTTGTGCTTAAGAATACCGAGAGACTCCGTTAAGATCTAATAGACGCGGACGCAATAATTGCAAAAGTCGCAAATTAGACCTTGCCTATTTCATCGCGTTTAATCAAAGATAACCAAAATATACGTTTTGTTAACGTCCAATTAATAAAAATAGAAAATGTAAAATTTACTTATACATAATCATAAAATTAATTTAAGGTGTAACTTTTTAAATGTATTGAAAAAAAAAAATTCTTATATATTACATACATTATATGCATTAATAGGTTATATGTGATCTTAGAAAAAGATTTGTCACAAATTAAAATCTTATCTAATTCATATATTTGTATAACTGATTATGAAATATACAAAAATATAAATTATCGATGAAAGCTCGTGCTCTTCCGCCGTACACAACTCATACTGTTGTACCGTTCTTTCTCTGTCCGCAGGAAAGAGCTTCAGCATCACCATCACCGTGTCGACGACGCCACCCCAAGTGGCGACCTACACGAGGGCGATTAAGGTGACCGTCGATGGACCGCGGGAGCCACGATCGAAAACGAGTAAGTGCGGAATATGCGACACTTTATGCGACGCTTCGATCGCGAGATCTATCCGCGACGCGACGCGACGCTCTGCCGCGCACCGCCCCGGGGATTCCCTGAAAATGTACCGATAATTCAACGAAAGTCCCTGTACACGGTAATGGGGAGTCATTACCGAGCAGATGGTGCGCGATGATGCAGTGGTCGACGTGCGTATCGCGCGCTTGCTGCGTGTTTCGGGTCAGGCCATTCGCGTATCTATACACACACAGGCGCGCACACACACACACACAGAGTAGACGCGCGTGCACATACATACACGCACAAGGGGGGGGGAGACAATGCTTTTACACGTGCACGTTTGTGCGCGCCGGATATTCTAACTCACTTACGCTAATTTGCCACGGAAACACCAGAAAAATTGCTAAAACATTCTGTTGGCGAACTCATTACTGGTCGGGCGAAATTGATAGAATCACGCGAAACACACACAGAAAAAGTCGATCGGGGGGGGGGGAGGTGGAGGAGGAGGAAGGAAGAAAGGGTGACTGGCCTTCAGTTTTACAATTCGGCTGCGGGTCCGTCCATCTCCGCGTCGTCGGATCAGAAGGAGATATCGCGCGCTTGTGCGCCCGACGATTCAGCCGACACCTATTTTCGGATGCATCCGCGGCGAGCGGGAAAAAAAAAATGGTCGTTATTTCGATATCAGATTAATAGCCGTTGCGGAGTTAACCGCGAAAACGGCAGTTTTTTGCGGGCGTTTCGCATTTGTTGTATAAAGTATTGATGGAAGCAGGGCGCCGCGTACACCCGCCGGACCCGCTATTTTTTTCGAAATGGTCGACCGTGATTGATTTTACTGTTGTTTTTACTGCTTGACTCAGGCCGCGTGTCGGGCGGGACCAGGTGCAAAAATGCGTGAACCTCGTCAATTTTCCAGCCGGCATAAAGTGCACTTAACGACGGGGTTAAAGTTTCAAGTCGTTTCCATCGACTTCCATATCTTTGTGGTATTTAGCACTTTAGCAACGCCCCCTCGATGAAGATGTTTGTTTCCGACTCGGCCAGCTTCGGTTCGTCACTGTCCGATTTTGTCGTCGACACATTATTAATTTCTGAAAATAAACGCATAAAATTCTGAGAGAAAAGAAATCAGAAATGCTTGGCGAAATAATCTAGAAAAAAAGATTAATATTAAATCAAGATAAATATTCTCGTGTATAAGCAAAAATATTATAATCTTCTTAGAAAAATTTTAGTTTTTCGATTTGATTGAATTTATACTAAAACATGTATAGATATTCTTATCTTAAAAATTTTATAAAAATTCTCATCCTCTCATCTAAAAATTTGAGTTTTGATTGATTTTATATTGACATAATTACTTTTGTTCAAGACTAAAAAATCTTTAATACGAAGATTGTAATATCCTTGCTTATATATGAGAATATATATCTGTCTTGATTTAAGACTAATCTTCTTCCACGAATCGAAATCAAGATCGATTTGTTAAACGTTGGAAAAAAATTTAGTGTTTAATAATGATTTTAATCTACTTATATCTATCGACAGTTGAAATATTGATAAATATTTACAAGTAATTCACAGATAGAGTTAAAGTGAGACATCCAACGAGCATGGCTAGGGCTTTCGCTATGCGAAATATGTCACGATTATCGTCTCTCTCCTGATAATCCTGATAAAAAACAAATGGTAGGTGGAGCCGGCGTTAAACGATGAAGGCCTGATTCACGCCGTTTAAGCCGTCGGCTCGAGCAGGCCGGACGTTGCGTCGCCGACCTACTGGTCCTTCCGAAATCGAAAGAGACAGCACGAACGGACAGCACGCGTGTCGCGTGGCACGGGCCGCCGCGGAATAGAAACACGCATGACGACATATTGCATACACGGGTTCGGCATCGTCGATGGCGTGCCTCATCGGGCCGGCACGCATCGGGGAGACACAATCTATGCAGCAACCGGCGTACGAACGCGAGCGCTGCTTTCGAGCAAAACAACCGGCAGCGCTTTCCATTGTGCTGCCAACAATGCGCGACGCCCGAGCGCCCCGCAGACACCTGCCGGCTCTCATTATTGCGTGCATAATCGCGAGCTTTTTGTTATCGGAAATCATCCCTCCGCGCCGCGCACCGCGCCGTGTGCCATAGACGACGTGGCCGGTAATCGGGCAATTTCCGTAATTCGCCGCCTCGCAACACCGCCAGCGAAAGAGTTTAGAATAGCGAGTCCTTCCCGCTCTCCAGAGAGAGAGAGAGAGAGAGAGAGAGAGAGAGAGAGAGGGATGAGTCCGACAGGAGAAATGCATACGATTCACGCAAGACAAGACTGTAATATAGTGCGTTCCGTTGAGAAAAGAGCAAAATATTTTTCTGGCAATGAGATAGAGCGATTTTGAAAAAGTTAGAAAACGTAAGATGATAACTTTTTGATATCTCGTTGTAGAACTGCTGCAAAGTAGCAGTTTTCCGAGTAATTTGTCAGTTGCCAATAACTGAAACGGCGGCGGCATAACGCGGGACGAATCGAGCGTGGTACGGATATAAATCGAGAACGAGAGAGGCGTCCGCGAAACAAAGTGGCCGCTGCCCGTCACTGTGGACCAAAATCATCGAAATGCAAGCGGGCGAAACGATATCGATGGATGGGTGCTGTCAGTCAAAGGTCGAAATTGAATTTGCCTCGTCCCGTAATTGATCCATATTTGAAATCGTCGTCTATTAGTAGGATGCCATAGATTCGCGAAATGATTTTCCGTTTTAATACGAGTAACGAGGCGCGTCTCGATTTTTCTATCCTCAAATTTTTGCTTAATGATAAACGAATTCGGGATATTCCGGCGTACGACTCTCCTCGGGATTCGAATTTTATTTCGTAAAGTAAACGCGGTTATTTCGCGGTAAAGGCGCGCCGACAGCACGATCCGTCGGCGACATTCGCCTCGATCTCTTACCGCTACCGTCGGGGTCGGACCGAATATAACATTCCGCTTTATCTTTACAAAATCGTACATCCCGCCAATCGACATTCTCTTAAATGTAGTTTTCGAGAAAACCGATAGCGACGAAAGGAATCATACGAAGCAATTTCAGCAGTCCGGTGGCCGATCAATCAAAATGTTAAAATTGGAACCGAGCTACTTCGCTCGGGATTGGATTCCCTCGTGGCCAACTCTTGATCCTGATATACACCAGTTCAGAGGAAGGCTCTATCGGCGACCGAAAAGTCCGATTAAAGAACCACCTCTTGATAAAGCGACTTGAAAAAGTGGCGGATCTAGCGAGGCTTCCGCTCCGAGCGTATAATCGTCGAATAGCGGGAGGAATTATTCGCGCTTATCGTTCACGACGATCTCGAAATCGACGAAGAACGAGCGCGCACGCAAATATGCATAAGCGCGTTAACGCGAGGAAAAAAATGAGAGAAAAAAAACGAAAAGGGGGGGGGAAAAAAAAGCGAAGGAGAGAATGAAATCTAGGAAATGCCGTAGCCTGGCCACTGGGCACTGGCGTCAAGGAGAAAGACGTAAGACGAGCGGGAGGGGGGGGGGGAGAGGCCCCGTTATTAGAGAGGAGGAAAAAGCCGCGCTATTTCCGTCCTCCCGGAGCCGCCACACTTTGATTAGATAAGCCCACCACTCGTGCCGTGGAGATTGGAATTATTGCTCTCTCCGTCCTACCTTTTCTCTCTCCCTCGCTCTCTCTCTCTCCTCGCTTATCCACTGCTTCGCGAGCCGGAGGGACGATTGATGAAGGTGTTACATCACCATCATTCTTGTTTATTGTAAATTAAATGTTTTTCGTGCGAGGACGCTCCGACTCCACCTTCTTCCTCGCATCTTTGCTTACATTCTTACATCTTTGATTGTCGCCAGATTGCATTTGTTACGATTATACGATTTCTCCGTGCAAAACATCCGTATATAACGTGTCGAAAGATCGCGCGGCTGTTTCATCCGGTCGCCGGATCATCCGCACCTTTCGAATTTCTCCTTTGTCCATTTTTACAAAAAAAAAAAGAGATGAACAAGTGAAAAACGAAGAACCGCTGTGAGCGGTTATCGATTTTCTTTTTTACTTCCATTACTGATCGTCATCATGCGATTATTAAAATTTGATTATTGCATTTGTTGTATTTGTTTAACAATCGATTATATTAATCCTTTGTTCCGGCTGAAGATGACTCAAAGACGAGTAGAAATGTTCGAATTGTTCGAGTGTATTTCACGAATGAAATATTTTCGCTTGAAATAAATAAGCTCTTTTAAAATAATTACTTACCATAAACAGCATTGACTCTTATTACTAACCGTCCAATTTTATGTTTTCAATTTGTAAAATGAAAAAAATGAGGGCTGTGAGAGTCGACGCGAAATGCACAATGCACTATCTGAGACATATAGATTTATTCACATGAAATTAACATATTCCATCCGTACGTTTTTGGCTCCTTTCGATCGATTTTCGAAGGGGAAGATGTTCTCAAGCTCCCAGGCACCGTGATGAAACAAATGCAGGATTACAGATAAATATCGTCTGTCACAACCAGCTGACAGACCGAGTGAAAAATCGGCCAAAATGAATCTGGCCCAGAGAATAGCTGGGAAATTAAATTCGCAACAATCGAACGGGTAACAGCCCATTGCTAATAAATAAAGACTGAAGTCGGAATTGTAAAGGAATTGTAAATTAAACTTATGAAAGTAGTCTTTAGTCTTAGAGAGAACGGAATCACTAGATTAAGGTCTAGAAAATCGCCGTGGTCGAGCCATTTAGGCTGCGACAACGTCAACGTGAAAAAAAAATATGAAAGATCAGGTTCGTCCGAAGGAAAATGAAATTCTTCTCTACCGTTTGACCTTTCGCGAGGGCCCAAACCGAGCGAGGAGTACATCGGCGGGCCCATCACTGCGTAACGTTCCGTACGTTTGGGGCATTATCGTCGTCCGGTACGTGAGAAGTCGTGGGATCCTCTCTACACGGGCCTCGCTTGTAGCATCTCCTGGCGCGGGCGCCGATCGTGGTAGTCGGTAGCAAGGAATAATCTTGTAGGCATCGGTCAGAGCATTGAAGCTGACCATCTGGGCTCGCCGACAATTTCGTGCAGTTTGTGGTCGAACTTTATTTGTCGTTCGCCCTCGTGGCCGAAGGTGTTTTTCTCTCCTCCTTCATCTTCGTTCTTCTCTCTCCTCACTCTCTCTCCTTCCCTTCTTTTCTTCCCTCTCCCCCCTTCTCGAAGAATAACAATTTGCGCCTAGGCTCCCATTCTTCGCTTTTTCCTCCGCTGTTGAAACCGTTAAGAGAGAGAGAGAGAGAGAGAGAGAGAGAGAGAGAGAGAGAAGAAAGGCGAAATGCTATTGCCAATCGATAATAGATCTTTTGGTATTTGCATATATATTAATGTCCGCTGTCTTACATTAACATATAAATATCAAAGGATTGAAATTACGAAGAATATAACTCTCGCGTCGTGAAATATATACGTTCACTCTTCACTCTTCACTCTTATCTGCCATTTATTTTCTACGGGAGATTCACAGATACGGGATATGCGATAGTGTATTTTGTCTTCGTATTTCGTCGGTGGATCTCCGATTATTATGTAAACGTTCGGGCTCATGCACGTGCCGAGTCATGTGCATTGTCGTGCAACAATATGTATCAAGCGTGTATTAGGATCCCGACGTAATAGGGAATCGGAATACCCGCGTTATGTATACGCCGCGATACTTGGCTCGAGATTCTGTCTGTCCATGAGGTCCCCGATATGCGAGGAATGCTATTGAAGTCTATCAAGGGAAGAGAGGTCGAGTTTCTTCATTATCCCGTTCTATTGGGCTAATGATGTAGACGCGTGCTGGTCAATTCCCCTCCGATTTAGAGATTCCGACGCGAATCCGAATCGTACCAAAGAGATGTAAAAATTCAGAAAGTATCTAAGGGAAAGGTCGAAAGGTCTTTTATCTTTTCTCAAGTTCTCTGCACGAAGCGGTTTAAAAAAAAAAAAAATAAGAGAGAGATACAAGCAATTGTTCTAAATTTACAGATTTAATACAAATTATACAGACATCTGAAATCTAATCTACCAATATCTTCTCCGATACCGTTAAAAAAAAAAAAAGAAAAAAAAAAGAAAACTAGAATCTTTGCTCAATTCAAATTTTAATATCGATTGCGATTGTAGATGTAATAAGTTTAAACGACCTAACATTACAAACAACATATATAATGTATCGCGATAAATAACTTTTTTTTTTTCAGGGCAGCAACATCAACAATTCCGCGCGCTCGGCCTGGGACAAAGACCCTTCCTCGACGCGCCGACCTCGTTCAGGTCCCACCTGCGGGAACTCGAATCCTTCGGGAGGAATAAGCATCACCATCATCACAGCAGCAGTCACTTACACGACCAGCAGACTGGCAACAACGTCACCACGAATTCGGTTAGCGGTGCCTGCACCAACCCCAACAACACCGACCCGACCGCATCGCCGGCTTCCAGTACACACCTCGGGGCTACCGGCGGCTCTTCCGTTCATCAGGATTGCTACAAGCGGAGTCCTCAACACGGCGGTGAGTTCCGATCTTGTCGCCTATTTTTAATCATTCCAACAGCCTAATCCGATTTATTTCACGCCCAGCTATCTCTATTAGCAGCGTAATCTCATTAGCATTTATATATTAAAATTCAACAAAGTAAAATAAAGATGCCGTTTGTAGAGTAAGTTTCTAAAAGATCTTTTAATCAATAAGAATCGTTTTTTTGTTTGAAATGATGGATAAATTTTTAATTTAAATTTCTTCTAAATTTGTCGAATTTAAATTTCTGCTTAAATTATATAAGATAACAAGATAAATCTTTATTATAAATAAGGATAAATTTTTCGGAGGGTAACTTTATGCACGTTATCGCAAAAAAAATTCATGCTCGTTTGTATCCTAGTATAAATTTACGCGACGTTCGCCTAAGTGTTAAGTAGAAACAACATCCGATGCAGTTTATTTGCTCCTTTGATTTGTGATGAATATTCGTGATGCTGCTATCATCATCTCGCACTCTCTTCGCATAGCATTCTCGTGCCTCGTGAAGAGCGACTCAAAACGCATTCTATCCCACCCAACTCTTTGTCGCGAAAGGGTGAAGAGGTAGAAATCGAGGAGGGAGATCCCGACTTGAGATAGAAAGAGAAGAGATCTCTGCCGTTTCGCGAGGTAATAGTTTCATACCTCGTTCCGGCTCTGCACCCTCTAATTCAACGTAATAACGACATTCAACCTGCCGTTTCCATCTCCCTCCTTTGCCGATCTTTCTCGATGCACCGTTGCATC